AAAATGTACTAAAAATGTACTAAAAATGTACTAAAAAGACACAAATCGATGGCTCATAATCTTAATAAACGTTAGGAGCATGAGATTTAAATGAAAACCTTTGCACACGATGAAAACTTCTGCAATCATAATAGTAAGCTACGTAATTTTACAAAAATTTCACATAAATATTTTTAAAATGGTACGAAGAATAGTAAAATATTTCAAAATGTTATTAATTTTGTCGTGATTTCTCCAACATTGGCAAAAATATAAACACGTCTTCTATTTGTTCTAATGTTCATTGCACACTTGATCTTTTATCGTCCTATTTATTAGTTTAAATTTTTCTCAAACATACATGCATTTTATTGGTATTTCAAGAAAAGCTCTCTCCTTAAAACTACGAATTATTTTTAAGCTCGGCTGGCCGACTCTTACAGATAATTTTCATGTACGCAAAGACAGCATCAATGATCCATAAAAAAGCTCCAAGAACCTTGATAATTCAATCCACCCGACGACAATTATTTTGTGTATGTAATAATAGGTTTCAGATTATCATGTTTCAGTAAAAATAAAAAAAAACATTTCAAATGTCATCGTATGCATTAATTTTAGAGGTCTTAGTTTCAAAATTCAAAACTTTACTTTCTTATTTCAACCAGTTATTTTATACTTATTCACCAAGTTTTTGATTTTTATCTCATTGAAATTGGATAAAAATCCAATGTTGACTAAAATGAAAAACTTGCGAATATTCTTAGATAAGTTTGACAAGAAGGAAAAAACTTTTATATAGCAAAAAAAAAACCTATTTTCGATTGTTGGCCTAGTCTAAGCACTTGCATATGGGTTGAAAACATTTGTTTATTGTTAAACATTTGTTCAAGTCATGAATTAGTGACCCAAGAGTTCTTAGCAAGGGATTCAGAGATTTGAAGAATAGTGATTAGATTAATATATAACAGAAAACTCCTGTGATTCGACTCTGGGACACTTTTTTGCAGACAAAATTTACTAAGAATATGCATAGTCTCGACTTTATTGCTATTTGTTTCACGCCATTTGTGGCACTGTGTATACAAAACACAGCACTGCTGCAGCTGATGTTTAAATTTTGCAGTGTGTTTGTGAGAAGCCGAGAGAGGACTTTTCCCAATAGGCGAATAATTGAAATGCCACGTCGCGAAAGGAATGCTACGAAACTATAGAAAAAGATTTGTAGGTCAGCCGCACGTAAAGTTTTTCTTTTCCTTTTCGCAGCTGCGAGTGCATGTGTGTGTGTGTGAATTATAAATTTACACGATGCAATGTATGTAACCGCGCGCACATAATGCAGCCATAGATCCACATATAATACGTAATCGCCGAGTGTTAAAGAAGTCATTAAGGAGACATAACGAACAGCTTCGGTGAGAATAAATTAATGAATCGGCGGCGGCACGCTGCAATGATCAATTCGTGCACCTCGCAAGATCCTGTACTCGCACATATACCTTCCGCGATGTTTCATTTATTAAGATCGAGCATATACCGAACGTACATGAAGTTTTTTCTTCTTTTTTGGCTTCCTCTCGCGCGAGGCACTCATATGTATAATATGTATTTTCGAAAATCTCGTTGCCGTTGTTACGTATTACATCGCGGCTCAATGGAAATTATTAATATTTTCTCCAACTTATGAACTGTTGCTCCTGCGGATTATCATTATTATGTTTTACGCGTGTGTCTTGACTGGCTGCCGTTGCATTATATACATATACATGTAATATATACATAATATTGAAGGAGAGCGAAATTGAATAATGCGCTGGTTGGTGCGCCGAGCGGAGATACTGTAGCTTTGCAACACAGCCATTATCTCATTTCGTAATTTTTTTTAGGTACATTACCGAGCATCGATGTAGCAATTCGCTTCGATTTTTCATTCCTCATTTATGCGCATCTATAGACTCTACGGTACGGCTGCAGCTTCTATATTATCGAGCCAAGTTCACTGACCATATCTCGTGATTCGCGCGCCCGTTAATCCTGCATAGATTTGATTCGTGCGCAGAGAGATGCGCCGCTGCCGAGCTGGAAGGAGCCGAGCGCAAAGCACTAATGTGTCAATTTATCACATCCGATATGTATCTGGCAGAGCGCAGCGAGTCGTCACTTTTTCACTCACGGCTCGTGTACACTATACTACGCGAGTGCGTCTGTATATATGCATGCCTCCACAATTAAGGTGTTTGTATGCATTCGCGCCCGTTCAAGCTTCAATTGATTCAACGCCTATTGCCCCCCGGCCAATGAGGATGTATAGCATCGAGCCCGTGACGGATATGTATTATTATTATATGTGTGTGTGTGTGTGCGATTATTGTCAGAATGTACAACGTATCGGCGAGTCAATGTACTTTTTGTGCCGCGCACGCACCACTAATCCGTCACAGGATCGTGCGTGCACTGATACATACATTATTACGCTCACTGCTATTTTCGTCTCTATCTTTTACAACGCAATTTTCATGTTTCAACAAAAATTTGCCGAGGCCCGAAAAAAAAGTTCATTTGCTCCTTACGTGGGCAGTTCCGCAATCGATACATATATTTTTTCGTATACTCCGGTTCCCCTCCTGCAATTCGACGACCTATATATTACGCTTTATTTATATCCTTGTAAATAACCGTAGCTTTGAACTTTTTCCGTATTTATAGCGCACGTGTAATCCTCTTATTTCAAAAGCCATATAACTATATAGGTGTAGAACGTGTCGCAAGCAAAAATGATTTGGGCTGCCTCGTGAGCCGTATAAAATGCTGCTGGGTACTATCTTCGATAAGCCACGCTCGATTCTCTCCGCGATTTTCATGCCTACGTTAATATCGCAGCGGCGCCACTTAGGCAGCTCGTATGCACGTCGTGCCGAGCGCGTATCGTGTAGCGTCTTTGCAAATTAGAAGCGTTTAGTCACTTGTAATTTGTCTCGCGCGCCCAGCTCGTTTTTGAGAAATAGACGAAGAAACGATTAATTTTGCAATGCCTCGCGTGTAATTTATCGGCCCGTAATCGACGATCGATGGAAAAATTCGGACTTTCGATTGTGGCGCGTACGGCAATAAAGGCTGTTATGTTGTGCGCTCGACCGGCCGTCGTGTTATCAATCCATTGACATAAGACCTTTGGTGCATAGCAAGTGTGCTCGCGCGCGCTTCACCTATATACACACGAGCTGTTATTTAACCGACGAGATCGTGTGCGTAATAATAATCGAGCCCTACAGCGCGCGGCAGGACATGCAGCGAAATAAGCCACACCTCGTGCCGACGAGCATGTGCAGGCCAAAAGTAGGTGGCCGCAACGACAACGTAACCCGCGGAGGCAAAAAAAACGAGATACCGTAGCGTATAACGCGCAAAAGCCGCAGTGTCCTTCAGAATTAAAAAGAGACATGCCTCGCGCGAAATAAGGAGCCGCAGCGACGTGCATAATATTACGCGAGCAGCTGTATTATATAATAATGGCCTTTTTCACCCCTTGAAGGTGACCCAAATACTGCGGCGAACGAGAATCGCGTAAAAAGCCATATAAAAAGCTGCGCTCCGGCAAATTGAGAAATTGTAAACCTGCTCGCGCGGCCGAGCTCTGCATGTGTGTATATGTAGCTCCGAAATTTCACTTTCTTCGAAAAATCTCATGATATGTGTCCCGCTGTATGTATACGCGGCGCCTAATTTCGATCGGGCGCTGCTATAATATTACTCAATTGCTATATGGTGCGGTCGTTTTTTTTTACAGTTCGGATACCTTCGACTCGGGCCGATCGATTGCGTTTGCGCCAATCGTCCGGAAGCGACATGTCGATTTTGTCGACGGGTGCATCTGTCCGCTGTGCCATACGTATACGTGTGTTTGAGATAAAATTCGACACGGTGTACACGTATTCGAGCTATCGCAATTGAAAAAACCGCAAGTATAACTGCTCGACGCAAGGCGATCGCGTGAATCGTTAAATTCTACACGCGTATAATATATAGGTATTGGCGGCTTAAAGCGCCCAGTCATAGTCGGTTTCGTATCGGCCAGTGTCAAAATGCTTAAATTCTATGCGTGCACAGGTCGACTTTTCATCCTGTTAGCTCACACACGAGTCAGGTGTATTGAATTCTCATGTGCCGCTGCTGCTGCTGCTGCTGTGGTAGTATAGTATATGCATGCGAGATATTACAAAATCTTTATTAACGGCTCGCCGTTAGTGCAGCGCGTGCACACATTTTTCCTTCTTTTATACACACATTAACAAAATGATCCACTTAATGTAATGTCGCGCAGCTTGCTCTAGCTCGAGTTCGCTCGCCCCACATATCGCGTACATAAACTGCGCGGCTATCCCCTATGTATACTGTAGGCTGCACATAGAGCTAGCTGGCACAATTTTTAAGCGCGCGCGCGAATCAATACGTGCTATTTCGTCATGTCTCGCGCGAGCTGAAAAAAATTAATAACTTCTGGGTGGAAAAGTGCAGGTACAAGACACGTATGCCAGGAGAGAAGGCCACTGCATTTCTTCTATATGCTTCACAATACATGACATATCTCTGTATTGTATTATAGTTATAAGTAAGCGTCGTTCATTAAGTTTTATGAGATAGCAATTACGCGGTTTGCATTGAAAACGACATGGCACGTAAAGCGTATAAAGACTTGTCGATATTTACTCAAGAGCGTAAACATAATTATATTGTTATACGGAGCGTGAATTTGTGCCCTTTTTCCAGCTGCGATCTAGTCGGACACGGCCCATTGGTGTGTATATCGTTCGCAGCCAAGTATACGCGTTATTATTATACGCACAAGACGTTGGCTCTCTACCCGTGAAACGAGAATTAAAATTCAACCGGTGGTTAAAGCTCAATTACGTATATCGAGCGCGAGGCACATTGCAGTACACACGCACGCATGCCATTAGAAATAATCCGCGCGACGATCGCGAGCGTTTAGTATATCTAGTGTACATAATAAGTATACTCACCCTAATATACGGCCAGCCTCGGGATTGCGGTAAAAGTCGCACTTGTGCAGCGGCTTTTTCGGGTCGTCGAACGACCTCTGACCGGCGGCTTGACACAGTGCTCGATAAAGCTGGAACTGCAGCACACCAGCCACGAAGTTCCTGCGACACAAAAAAAAACAGAGCCAAGTTGAGTAGAGCGAAATAGTTGCATTACAGTCCTGGCTATATATAAAAGAGAGAGAGATGGATGCAAGTGGGCAGCCAGACACGTGCTTGCATGCGCGCAGAGCTTAAGATGTAATCCCTGGTATTATACATGTTGGTTGCCTAGCTTGCGCATGCACAGTGCATAAGCCCGCGAGAGTATCAGCGGTGTACGTCTCGAGAGCAATCACGCAATAATAAATGGCGTACGTATAGGCATATACTCCTGCAGCCGTAGGATCGCGCTCGCCGCACTGTTATAGGCCGGTCGCGCTTTTCTCAAGAGCATGAGCATGAGCAACGTTCTCCATGCATACATATGCACACACACGCGGGCGCGACTGCGCCACGGCCTTTACGTAACGATCTCAGAGCCGCATGCGCGGTGCGGTGTATCGTATACAAACATGTGCACGTAGCTTACGAGCATCGCTCGCCGATCCTGCGCCGATCCTTTTTTCGGACGAATTATTTTTTCGTGTAGCTGGATGCGAGCATTCCATATTGCCGAATCTACGCTCGTTGGAGAAAGCGCGATCGATGAGCGCGCATCAAAAGATATAATGTAATTCTCGTCTTGGCGCGCGAATAGATACGAAATTTTAATTCGTCGGCGCGCAAAATTTTGCGCTTATCGAGTTTCCACTGGCGTTCGTTGATACGCGTGTATACGCATTGCTGATTGCCGCTCCGAGCCCGTGAGCACCGACGTAATTCCATTCCTCTGAAATTTAATACCTTCACAAACGGATTGACAACTTGTCCGATCGCAGAGAGAGAGAAAGAAAGAGAGTATTTTCACCTTCGCAAACAAATATTTATAACGTCGGCGTAATATACGTCTCGCGTAAATCGATGCAGCGCGTCGAGTATCCATCAGGCGCGCGCTCTACCGAAAACTGTTTCTTTTTTGCGCTCCCATTAGTGCCGTTTATGTATACATCAGGTTCGAGCCGGTGTGTGTCCTTGGCAGATACAGCGCATAACAAAACATAATCAAGCGTGCGGTAACAACTGCATTACGGCCGCAGCCCGAGCAAAAAAATTTCCAAATTAAATTGCCACACTTACGCGGCCGAAGAAATTTTTCCTTCAAGGAGCAGGTACTACACGCACAATTAGGCAAAAGCGACAGCGGATTAAGACCCAGGCCTTTGTCCAATTGCGACGTGTACTTTTACGATGCGAATTTCGGCCATGTCTAACGTCCTCGTAAGCTAGCGGATAAAACTCCGACTATCGAGCTGCGCACACACACTGCACGATCGTAACGTTAAACGAGCTACATCGAGTCCGTTGGAATCCAGCCAAAAGGGAGACGATCATGCGCAGCTTTAGCCAAAGGGTCGATTTTTCTGCTCATCAAAGTTACATTTCTAATGCAGCGATGTATGCGAGCGCAGCCCGCCTCGTTGTAGTTGTTGCTGCTGCTGCTGCCTTGCTCAGCTGAACCCGGATGAAACATTTTTACTCGATTAAAGGTCGCAACGATACGTCCGTGAAAACGAGTTTTAAACTGGGATTTTCATATTTTTATTTTTTATTTATTAACAAAAAAAGTAACTGACCACACCTCGTTCGGTATATTTTTTTATAAATATCAAGATATTCGCGATCGAGCTGCCGGATAATCACATGCATTGTGAAAAATCACGAATGTCTGCAAAATACGTTTACGTTTTATTGAGGCTCATTCGTCTTGCTCGGTAGTTTCAATTAATGGAAAATGAGAAAATTCGCGATAAGGCGGATCTTTCCATTGTTACCGTTGATATACAAATGCGCAGGACATACAGATACGTGCCCTGGGAAAACTAGAATAAAATCTAGTAATATTCGATAAAATAAAAAATGATGGAAAAAAAAAGACGCAGACGGTTAATAATTATCTTCGTCGTTTTATGCGCTCGCGAGAGTCACGGGGCAATTTCTCAACGTAGAATTTCATCAGTTCGATCGTAGGCAGCAATTAATCCATACACTTGAAACGTGGATATATATCTACGTACGATATCTGCGGCAAGCATCTAATATGAACTGCTTTGTCAATCCCTATATCGCGTTAGTGCCTATTATTATTGACTTTATCAAAAAGGTCAGAGCTGCTGACGAAATACGCACATTGCAGCCGAATGGACACGACAATTGCGCAGACGGACGTGTCAGCTCTTATCGATTTTCGAGCGACGATCTACCTCAATTATTCGGACAAGTTTAATAATACGAAGAAGCTTGCGCTACAATTAGATCGGAATAACAGAAAAAAGAGCTGGCCACGAGATGTGCCACGAGAATTACCTGCCAAACGGCCGTGTTACTCAAAAAATAAAAAATAAAAGTAACGCTCGTGCTTACGCTCGCGCGGAGGTAGATGTAATATGCGAAACAAAAGCGAGAGTGAGGAAAAAGGAAATCGAAAACGAAACCTCGAAGCCCGCGGCCCCGCGTATACGCGATATGTACATGCAGCTTGTTGAACACAGGTCGGGCTACTAGCATACACACTCACACACACTCCCTACTCCCAGGGATTTTTGAAGGGGGTAAAGCTCTCTCACTCTCGATCTTGGCTCCTTGGCTCGATATTCGTAGGAAGGTGCAATACACGTTGGCCAAGGAGAGACAAGCTGCGAGAGACAAAGGACGTTGGGGGGGTAGGGCCCCCGACACATGCAGCGGCGGCGCATGTGTCCCCGACCAGCCGCGTATGACACGGGCATAGGCGAACGAAGGCGAAAGTGTGGCGGGCGTATATAAGGCCCCGCGTTCCCGACGTTCAGCATCCAGTTCGCTTCTGGACGCAATCAAAACATCGCGTACACAAGCTCAACCATGAGAACTTTGGTAGGTCTTATATACCTCTTTGGCGTGTATACTACCTGCTCACGGCTCTCGTGTTGTCTTACAAGTCGTGTATTTTTCTCTGCGTCTTTACTCGAGTCTCCGTCGTCGAGAGTCTTTGCGAAAAAATCGCCAAGTGCTTTTGCGTTCGCGGCTTCGTTCATTTCGGCTACTTTATACCACCGAACTGTGTGTTCTCGAACAAGTGTAACTGAAAATGTGGTACCCATCGAAAAAGCGACGAGTGTGCTCTAACGAGACTGATTTTTGACCAAGTGTGGCTCGCTTTCTTCGATACGCATCGTCGAGTGTTCCGTGACGCGTACTTTCTTGACTAGAGAAGACTTTGTTATCGATCGACCGCCTCTTTTCATCGAAATCATTGACATTAACTTGATTTATTTCGCTTAAATACGAATGCTTATTAACTTTAATCATTTGCATCGCGGCAAAAATAGAACATGCGGCATAGCGATTTCTAAAGCGTAACATGCGAACGCTCGCATACCGTGTCCGGTCGAGTTGTATTTCGTGCATGTAAGAAAAGTGTCGCTGGAGTTTCACGTACATAATACCGGCCGGGCGATCTCGTTTCGCGTGCGCAGCATATTTCCATAGATCGAATTTTCTTGTAGACAAGTTAAAGAAAGTCCTAGAGGCAGTGCGCTCCACATCACGTGTCTTATTATTTTCTGTGTTATTATTCTTGTAGATGAAAGTGGCTCTGTTAGCCCTCGTTGTTGCTACAGCCTGGGCCGGTGAAACCGAAAAGAAGGCCGAGAAGACCGAGGAGACGTCCAAGCAGAAGCGCGGCCTCTTCGGCTTGGGCTACGGTAGTTACGACGGTGGTTTCGACGGTGGCTACGGTGCTAGCTACGGAGGTGGCTACGAGGGCGCTCACGCCTTGGAGTACGCTGCCCCAGTGTCCCACTACTCCGAGCCCATCCATCACTCCGAGAGTCACCACCAGCAAGTCCACACGGTCGTCAAGAACGTGGCTGTACCTTACCCGGTTGAGAAGCACATCCCTTACCCAGTGGAGAAACACGTCGCTGTGCCCGTCAAGGTAAGCGGATGACATTTCCTGACTCAAGCTGCTCAAGGTGACGTTCGGTGCATTGGCTAATCCAAACGGCATAAAACTAATATTGTCTTCAGGTCCCAGTGCCACAACCCTACCCCGTGGAGAAGCACGTGCCAGTGCCCTACAAGGTCTACGTCAAGGTTCCAGTCCACGTACCAGCCCCATACCCAGTCGAGAAGAGGGTTCACGTACCAGTCCATGTTCCAGTCGACCGCCCAGTACCCGTCAAGGTCTACGTGCCACAACCCTACCCAGTGGAGAAACGCATCCCGTACCCAGTGAAGGTCGGCGTTCCACAGCCCTACCCAGTTGAGAAGCACATCCCATACCCAGTCAAGGTTCCAGTTCACGTACCACAGCCCTACCCAGTGGAGAAACTCGTCCCGTACCCAGTCAAGGTTCACGTCGATCGTCCAGTCGCCGTGCCAGTGCCCAAGCCATACCCAGTCGAAGTTGAGAAGCCAGTGCCTTACCCAGTGGAGAAGCACATCCCCTACCCAGTGAAGGTGCACGTAGACAGGCCAGTGCCCGTCCACGTCGACAGACCAGTACCAGTCCCGGTCAAGGTTCCAGTGCCAGCACCTTACCCAGTCGAGAAGCAGGTGCCCTACCCAGTAGAGCGACCAGTGCCCTACCCCGTCAAGGTGCCCGTCGACAGGCCCTACCCCGTCCACGTCGAGAAGCACGTGCCCTACCCAGTCGAGAAACCAGTCCCATACCCCGTCAAGGTGCCCGTAGCCGTACCAGTCCACTCGCAGCCCATCAAGCAGCACGGCTGGGAAGGAAACAACAACTACTACTAAACGGAAACCAATCGATAATTGTAAAGCATCGTATACCATCCGATACTCAGCGATCCGATACTCTCGAGAAGATCCGTAATTGGGATATCCGTCGCAGGCAACATGAGCGCTTGTATCGTTAAGATTTTCAATCTTAATTACGATTCACTGAGCTTCTTTTATTTTTACTTTTATTTTTATTTGTCGGTATTTTTAATGTACATTATTTCAAACGCGAGACTCCGCGAGGTGTTGCTCGATTGACCGATTGACAACTCGGTCGCGTGCGCGCGCGCCTATTTTCTCACCCACTTCCTGCGGGCAAAATCCGGCTACTCATTACGTATGTATTTGCTCTATTTTAACGTCTTTTAGACTTTATGCTACGAATTAAGAAACCTATCAAACATTGTCGATTGCCGCGTAAATTCAAAATGTGCGCCTGAGTGTAGTATCGAGCTGTAAACGAGCTCGGCTCAGATTCCGAGACGCTCGACACTATACGTGCCGCGTAACACATTTACAAAAAACGCCGTCGACGATGGATAACCTTCATTAACTTTTCTTTGTCCATTTCCACAGACAGCTCGTTACATTAACACAGTCTGTCATACGTAGAGCAGGGGCCTCTTTTGCTTCTCAACATCTCCCCCCCAATGTGAAAATTCGAGGAAAACTTTCGATTTTCGATAGATTATTTTTTTATACTCTGTATGATTGTTTTGTACCGTAATTAATAGGAAAATTTTTATAATGTATGTATTTTTTTGTAAGAAATGACAAAATAATATAAAGATTAATGAAAAATCAAAATCTATCTCTTTGTTGCTTTCATAAAAACCATCAACCCTATTATTTATTACAGATAAAATTTACAACTTGAAAATAAGATCGTTACAAATATGATTTAACAAATCGGATATTATGACGGAAAAGCAAGGGGGTTATTCAACAATTGCATAATTTATACATTCATGCATAATGGAATCACAGGGGCGTGGACGGCTGAAAGTCGTGAAGTGTCGCTCGCATCGACGATCGAAATTTACATAAAATGTGTATACGCCTCAGACGCGTGAGTCGGTTGCGGTTAATTAAACTTCTTTATTAGGTTTTCGATGCGCAGTGGTTGCCGCTACTGCTGCTGCTGCTGCTTCTGATGCAACTTTGCGCGCGTCATGAGTTCGAGCGCGCGATTCAAATGCGCGGACGCAGCTACGAAAATTATATACGCGCGGCATACTTGCACGGCTTCATCGGGTCTTTGGGAAATTTCATCAAACGCTTATATTAGGCCTGGCGCACTGCACTCGCACGCGCACACGGTGGGCTCTCGCGAGTATTGTGCCAAGGCACACATTACATGTATTATATACTCGAGCTCGCGCGCGCGTCTTGTACAATCTACTAACCCACTGACTGCGACTTCGTGAGGATGTTTCATCAATAAATAATGAGCGAAAATGGAAAAACGTGTTGGCCGAGAGCGTGATAGCGTCCGTCGTAATTTCGCAAAGTTAAAAACCTATACAATCGCGGAAACGACTCTCTCTCCCTCTCCGCGCGTATTATGTGCGTTTATATTTTCGTGAGGATAATTTTTTTTTTCATTTCAACCGCCTTGTGTACCTATGTACTCCAGACTCGCATGCGCAGCACGTTTCGTGTTCGCCATGTGCCGACGTTGTTGTCGCCAAATTGCCCGAGCAAATGAAAAGTCGCATAACAGATCTTACGAAATCTAGATCTGTATGCATTTATGTATATCTATCGATCATAACGATTTTTAGGCGACTTTTTTGCGCTCTATTATATGCGTCGCGGGACACGCACACGCATATAACGATCGGGTGAAAGCTGCGCGGGATACAGTTGCTCTTTTTTCTATTATGCGCGTAAGATTGCGTGGGTGTAATTAAACTTTTCGACGCTTACGAGACGCTATTTGGTCTTATTAGCGAGATTTAAGATGTGCCTTATAATAAATTCACTTTAAACAAACGTCCGCAATTATTAGCTTTACTACAGGGACTAGGCGATTTCGCAATTTTGACGAAGCTGCCATTCACTTTGTCTATGTTCACACACACACACGCAGACATATTCATACTTTTGCATTGCCAAATGCATACTTATAATAACAACATATATATCTGAGATAGATAACGAATAATCATTAAGGTGTATGCATGTAGCTATATAGGTGTGCGGTCACCGTTTGCGGAGGGCCCCATGCTGTTTCAGCAGCATAACAATACCCTATACGTGTGTATTAATGTTTTGACTCGCACTGATATCCACGAGAAATTACAAAATATCATATAGTTTGCATGAGCGACAAGTCTGATTTTCCCACTTGTCGTCGGCAGATCTTTTGAGGGAGGCGCTTATATTATACTTTCATTTGTCTACATTATGTTATGTCGGGGAAACAATCGATGTTTTGACACGCGTATTATTCACACGCATGTGTGAATTTTTCTTTGACCCTTGGAGCAAAAGACTCGCGATGTTGTGAAATTTGAGAAGATACGCCGTTATTGTTCACTTGAGATTTGAATACGGTAAAAAAGTTTTTAAACTTCACGCGTGATTTCACGCAATGAATTTGAACGGACCAGGAGAGTCAAAAAAAAAAACCAATTAATCAAAACCTTGGTTGATCGAAGTAGAGCGTCTCGGAGCTTTTTCGGTCGCGGCTCGCTACGCAGCTTCGCTCGAATCATATGCAGATCGTATAATGAGCGGTAGTCGCGGATACTATTTTGTCGTTGTGTGACGGATTTCACGAGAGGGAGAGACGATGCATTGAGAATTACAAAATCAGATAGCACTTGACTCTCGATTTCGCTCACGTTCCTATGTATACACACACGTAAATTCCCAAGCGCTCGCGGAGAGCTTAACTGTTGGCCGCTTAGTTGTTCTCGCTTGCCTTTCGTGTGTGTGTGTGTCTGCATGTATATTTTTGTATACACAGGTATATAAGGTAGGTAAAGAGAAATTGCGCAATACATTATTATTAGCGCAGTGCGCGCCGCTGCTACCAGCGCATACTAGCACACACACATAGACAGGCAAAGACAGACAGACACACATGAACACACGTGCACGCGACATGGAAAGTAAGAGTCTCCGCGTCGCTTATATACATGCACGCGCGCGGCGGTGGCGGCGGCCTCTCATTGTACAGCGCGCGGGCCGCGTGCAGAAGAGACTTCGGAGCAGCGGCGGTAGCAGCTAGACTACTCGCGCGCGCATACACATCGCCAGCCAGCTCTCGGACTATTATGGGAATCGTTTCGCCAAGAAAGTGGGCCACTGTTAATGCACACGCCGCCGCCACCGACGACGACGACGACGACGCGACCGCAATAAAGCTCCACTTTTTTCCAGCTCCCATTTCATGTACACATTTATATATTAATTTTACACCGGGTTCGTCGCGACGATTCAATCCGATGCTAGCTCGTGTGTAGCGTGGCACAGCTATTTTGGCCAAAATTTGCTGTACTTTATCGCGTTCAACGATTGTACCTTACGTAGTCGAACACGCGCTCCTTGTTTATGATAATCGATTCGCGTGTTAATGCAGTTATACGCGAAACTTGTGTAGTCGTAGCGGCGCGCGCGCGCCAAGCCTCGAGCGCTCCTCGCACGCCGCGGCGGAACTCACTGGAACACTGCACCACTGCGCTGCTGTACTCCGCTATAGTTTTTCCTTTTTTTTCTCGGCCGTCGTTTAACGATGCAGTGTGTACGGTACAGCTCGATACGAGTTAGCGCGGTTGATAAGTCAGATCGCCAAAGATACACGCGCGAAATTACCTCGAGACCGCAGTGCACAGGAGCAGCAGGAGCGCGTAATTTTTTGCCGTACGAAGGATAAAAGTCGCGCGCCTCCGGTAACTTTCTACTTTACTCGACGCGTTGTGCGATTCCGCTGCGGCGGTGCGAATAAAAATGTGATCTACACCGGAGCGCGCGGTTTATCGTCGTCTACGAGCTGAGAACCAGCCGCGCAAAAAAGCTCGTTTATCGCGCGAGAGGCGCCTCGCTAAATGTATCAAGCTCGAAGTGCGCTGCAGCTGGCGCAATAGCACTCGTGGTACACGACGTATTCGTGAAAATAGACACTCGAGTACTTTATTCGCGGCATAAGTGTCTGTCAGAAATCGTGAGGCTCGTGCTTGGCGCTCAACGGCCCCACGCGCTTATATTACATACAACTCAGGATCCACGCGAGGCTATTATCAGCGGCGCTGAAATTTGTGGCCTGTAGCGCCCGGCCCGCGATCGCGTAATCCTGTTTGAGTATATCTGCGAGCCAAAAATACAGACTCGACTCCTGCAGTCGCGCAAACGATTCCGAATTAGTCATTGCGCGTGTAATAGGCCAAGTATTTATATCCGAGTCGCTCGAGCTCGCGTAATAACTGCACAATGTGCATATATAAATGTGTGTACTATGTACACGGTATATCGATCTGCGAGTCGAATCGTGCACTGCTTATACACGTCCGAGTGAATCATTCGCGCCGATCCGTGCGTGGGAATATTTTCCCACCGCGCCAACGGCGCCATTATCCTATCTTGAATGAATAACTTTTTAATTATAACGAGAGATTTTTTCAATTTACGCGTACGCTTACACGCCCGAGCGTCCGAGCTACGCGAGCATAATGCGTGCATGTTTAGAAAAACAACGGACGTGCAGGCGTAGCTCACATTTATCTCGAGCGCGAATCCGCTGTTTTTTGAGGAAAAGATATTTTTTACACCTTCTTTGTATTTTTGCCGGAGAAACGATATTCTTGAGGAATCCGACTCGAATATTTAATAATTTCAAGCAAAATTCGTAATAATTGCAGGAGAAAGCGTAACTCGAATCGTGTAGTTTTTAATCAATGTAAATAAAAAAATGCAAAACAATGTTTGCACTGCATCACGCAGCCGCATAATCGCTAATTACATATCGGTTTTGAGTTTACCAACACCATCGAATTATTAATTCGCGATGTGTAACGATTTTATCTAAAGTGGTAGGGTCGCGT